TCATTCCTCAGAGGAAAAGTGTTGCTTATAAGAGAAATCATAATAGGATCTTTCTCTTAAAACAAAAAACAAAATTGTTTTTAGTTATTGTTGGTGGTAAGTCTTTTTTTTAAACATTTTTATTTGTTTATTTTTATTTTTTTTTTATTTATTTTTTTTTTTATTTTATTTTTTTGTCTTTTGTCCTTTTTTCCGTGTCCGGCAACGGATCGCAACCCTCAGTGTTGCCCCCGTACCGGACCGGGGACCGGCAACGGGATCGCAAGCCTCGGTGTTGCTCCCGCGCCTCGCTCAGCCAGTGAGCGGGAACCGGTCTGCACGTGGGATCCGAACCTTCGGACGGGAGCGCCGCCGCGCTTCCCAAGCGGCGCACTATTCAGTGCGCCACCGGGCCGGCCCTAGACAACATCTTTAAGAAGATCATGAGTTTGGTGATTCCATTTGATAACTTTATCCTAACTCTATTTCCTGTCAGGGATTGGCAGTAAAATAATAACAATAATAATAATAATAATGCTGAAAATATCTTATTTTGGGAAACATCAAGGAATCACAAATCCACAGAGGTAGTGCACCACACATCAGATAATTCTAGAAGGTTGGGATCCATGGGTCCTCAAAATGGAAAAAGGGATGATAGCCAATACCTATGTATCCTGCACTAAAAACATTCAGGGATCTTTCACAACCATGATGTCATTGAATCCTTTCTAGATGAAGGGACCATCACTTCCCATTTTGCAGAGGAGGAAACTGAAGCCCTGAGAAAATAGAAAGAGAGCAGGTAAGACAATCCTAGAACCCAAGCCTCCTATCCTGGAAAATCAAGGCATTGTCAGAGCCGGGAGGGATTTGAAGATTAAGTCCAAGTTCCTCGGTTTTTGCAGATGAGCAAACTGAAGCTCAAAAAGAAAGAGATCATTTATCTAACCTTCTTAATTTTAAAGAAAGGGTGAGTGTAATTGACTGATCAGGCAGCTCCCAACACAGGATCTGCACTCACCCAAGAGTGGTCATGGTGACAATGGTATACCAGAAGGCTGCAGGGATGCTGGTAAAGTTGGTCTTGTTTGTGCCCTTCTCAGCATAGAACATGACAGTAGCGAAGATGATGATGGCCATGGTGAGGGAAAAAAGGAGAAAGCCCAGCTCAGAGGCACAGCTCTTGAGTGTGTAACCCAGAATCCGCAAGCCCTGTGAGTGTCTGGAGAACTTGAAGATGCGGAACACCCGGAACACACGCAGGGTGACGAAGGCGCCTGAGACATCGTCGTTCTTGGTCACGAAAAGCCCAATGTAGTAGGGCAGGATGGCCACCACATCGATGAGGCTCATGACACTCCGCAGGAAGCGGCAACGGCTTGGGGCGGCAAACAGCCGCAGGAGGTATTCACCCGTGAAGATGAGTACGCAGGCCGTGTCCATGCAGAAAAAGGCCTGAGGGAAGCGGTCGCCACAAGGCTGCTCTTTCGGGGGCCGCCGCGCAGAGCCACGGCAGGGGATGGTCTCGACCACGTTGGCGATGACTGACACGGCAATAAAAAAGCCGGTCACGTAGTAGAAAACCAGGGCCGCGGTGCTTGTGTGTGGGTTCTCGAAGGCCCGCCAGAGCCGCTGTCTCAGGGAGCTGCCCGCCGGCAGGGCTGGCCCGTCCCCAGCCTGCTCAGCCTCCTCATCCTCCGCCAGGCGCTCGGCATTCTCCTTCTTGCGGTCCCGGTACTCCTCCAGGCAGCAGTCACCGACGAGCTCGGGGACCAGGCCGTAGAAGGCCAGTTCTTCGTCGAAGGCCTGGATGCACTCCTGCCGCGGGCAGTGCAGCCTGCCTGTGCGGTAGAAGTTCAGCACGTGGCGGAACATGTCTGGGTCGCGATCGAAGAAGTACTCGCCCGAGTCGGCGTCGTAGAAGAATTCCTTCTCAGAGCTGCCCAGCAGAGTGTCCGGGTAGCGGTCCAGCGTGTTCTTCCAGGTCTCAAAGCGCCGTCCACTCACGTTCACCACCAGAATTTCATCCCCTCGAGATGCCTTCACCCCCGGTGCCGGGGGCAGGGGCTGCTGGGCCAGGGGCAGCCAGCCCACTGCAGCGGCCCGAGCAAAAGGCAGCCAGGTAGCCACACCTGCAGCCATCCTGCGCTCCCCAGGCCCACGCAGACTTGGGCGGGGGGGGTGGTGTTTAGGAGAATGTGGCTGCCTCCAGGATGGTGGGAGATTGGAGAGGCCCTGGGCCACCGGGACAAGGAAACTGGGGTTGTCTAGAGAGGCCAAGAGGAACCAGGAGGAAGAACTAGAGAGATGGGCAAGAGCTTGGGGGGCATTTAGAGGGTCTAGGAGGGGCCTGGGCTATGGTGGGAGGGACTGAGAAGGGGCTAGGGGACAAGAAGAGGAGCATAAAAGGGGTGTCCACAGGGGCCAAGAAAGATCTCAGGGAGTGTTTAGAGAGATTGAGATGATTCTAGAGGGGTCAGCACGTGCCTGAAAGATGTCTGGGGGGTATCTAAAGGGACCAAGAAACACGTGGGGAGTTGTCCACACTCTCAAGAGTTCTCAGGAAAGGAAGAAGGGCCTAGAAGCCCTTAGTGGAGTTGGAGAGGAGATTGGGGCATTGAGAGGGATTGAAACAGGACCAGAGGTGCTTGAAAGAGGCTGAGAGTATCTGGAGGGGAGGAGTTCTAGAGGGGCTGAGAAACGTGAGGAGGGTTGTCCACACCCTCAAGATTTCTGGGGGAAATATAAGCGGATTGGAGCCCCCTCATGGATCTAGAAAGGGGGCTGGTGCATCTAGAGGGGTGGCTGGAGAGCCAGGGCTGGAGAAGGGAGTGGGGTAGTGAAAGGGGTAGGTATGGGGCTGGGGTATTTTTTAAGAGGCTGAGGGGTATCTGGGGGAGGGGTATCTGGAGAGACTGAGCAAGCTTGGCCCACACTCTCAAGAGTTCTGCGGGGAGGAAAAGGGGGTTTGGGGAATCCCCAGGGGCTGGGACTCAATTGGAAGAAAGTTGGGCATAGCCCAAGAGCACCCAGGGGATCTAAAAAGATGAAGGGGGTTTCCCCAAAAAATGGGCTGGAGAGGTGGGTGGGGTATTGAGAGGGAGTTGGGTGTGTTTCCAGGAAGGGGGGCTGCTGGTCCTTGCAGGAGGCTGGTGGGGGAGGCCAGGAGAAGGCTGGTTCCCACCGTTGGGGGCAGGTCTGGGGAAACCACACCCCAAGGGGCTGGCGGTGTGTGCTGGGCAGCAGCAATACCAGTAGTAGCAGCGGCAGTACAAGGAGAGAGAAGAGAAGCAGCAGCCACAGCCAGGCCTAGGAGAGAAGGCGGCACAGGCAGGGGGAGGCGGCTGGGTCCCTGGAAGGAGGATCTGAAAGGATAAGGTCCAGTGGGACCCCTGGAGATTGTCCCAGGGTGGGCTAGGGCATGGGGGCTGGCCCAGAGGATAAGGACAGTGCTATTGGTGGCCCCCTCCCCTTCCCCATAGGGTCGTTCTCACCTGTGTCCCCACTGCAGCAGCAGCAACAGCAGTGGGGCTGGGGGTACCAAACACCGGAGCTCCTGGCCCCTCTGCAGAGCTGCCTGAGTTCTCCTCCTCCTCTAGCTCTCTCTCCCCGCCCCTCCGAGCTTGCCGGGAGATGGAGAGAGAGGCAGGGAGGGGCCTCATGGCTCCCAGAGCCCCCTCCCCTAGGACAGCCTGAGAGGGACCCTGGGGAGACTCCGCCTCCTACAAAGCTGGTTGGGCCTCAGTCGCGTCATCTGGAAAATGGGGGTGGCAGGGAGCTTTGCCAATTCTCCCCACCTCCTTCCTGGACTCCCCCCTCTTCCTGCCCAGCTCCTACCCCCTTGCCCCCAGGGGCCCCCACCCCCACCCGCCTGAATCAGCAGCATTTAGCAGATCCGATCGATAGGCGTCCGTTAATGGCCCCAGAGCGGAGTGCCATGGGGAATGATGCAGCGCAGTGTCCCCTCCCTGCCCCCCAGGCTGTGGAAGGGCAGAGGCAGCTGGGGGTGGGGGTAATTGGTGGGTGGTGTTTCTCTAGATGGCCAGGCCTCCAAAGCTGTCCCCCGGGAGGGGAGGTGTGGGTTAGAGCCCCAGTTCTAACCAAGATTTCTGCTTCGGTACTGGAGCACGTCTTCCTCTCTGGTTTTGGATGTGAAATACAGGGTAAGGGGAGTGCAGATGGGGACAACCCAGGTCCCGCCCCCTCTTCAGGTTCTCTGCCAGGCAGACCCTACTTGGAGGGGGCAGTCTCCTTTATCTGTCCGCATCCAGCAGCCTCATATCTCACTTCCTCCCCCAGAGGGCCCTGCTCCTGGGTGGCAGGAGCACTGAGTAGGGAGTGCCTCTTGCACACATGGTGGGTTCAAAGCCCAGCTTTGCCACTGACTTGCTATGTCCTTGAGCAAGTGACTTGCATTGTTTCCTCAGTTGTCAGATGGAGAGAGTTCTCCCCACTTGATGGTGTCATTTGGAGTATTAGATGAAGTGGTGGGAAAGGAGAAGGCATGGGGCAGAGCACACAAAGCATGCCTAATCTTAAGTAACTAAAGGTATGTGGTGATGGGGGAGCAGTGGCAAGGCTAAGTCTAGCCTTTCAATCGATTTATCTACCCATGTAATCCTTCATTTGCTCACTTATCACACTCCTGATTTGTACATTTCTCCACCCCTCCACCCATACATCCATCCATTCTCCCACCTACACAATCACCCTACTGATTCCTCCACCCACCCATCTGTCCATTTAGTCATTAATCCTCCTATCCACTCACTCATCCATTTGTATATTCACCCAATCCAACTAACCATTCACCAATCTATCCATATGTATCGATCATCTGTCCATCTACCTATCCATCTATCCATCATTACTCGCCCACTTTACCCTTCCCATTCATTCGCTCATCTATCCATCCATTCCCCTATCCCTCTGTTGATTTACTCCTGACCTATCCATAAATCCATCCACCTATGTATCTAGTTAATCCACCTATCCATTTGTCCACGCACCTGTATATCCATCTACCCATTTATTCATCCAACCACCTATCCAATCCATGTCCATTTATTTCCCAACCTACCCATCATCAATCCATGCAAACTTCCACTTATTTATCCATCAGTCCACCCAACCACTTATCCATCCTCCCATGTATCCACTCAGGTACCTCCATGGCCCAAATACATCCACCCAAATACATATTTCTGCTCCACTCAGTTTGAGGGGTTGGTTATCAGTAAATGGAGATAGGCTGGGTGAGGGTGGGGGAAGGAGAGTAAAGTTGCAGCCAGAGGCCACCCTCCCCATGCCAAAGACCTCTCTCCCCATTCCAATGGTGTGACCTCCCCACCCCCAGCACATCCCTCCTGGTCGAAAAGAATGAGACCAGTCAGTGGGTGGGCCTATCTGGCCAGATGGTATTTTGGCTGCACAGCCTTTACACACACACATACATATACACATGTTGCTAGAATGCTGAACATGGACTACACCCCCGCCCAACAGCCCCAATCCCAAATGCAGAGTAGCCAGGCTTCCAGACATAAATTAAAAAATAAAAGAAAATAAAAAAAGAGTTGGTCTCTGGGAGGGAGAGCTCATGCAGAGATGAAGGCAGAAACCCCTTGGGAGCCAGGGCCAAGAAGGAGAAATTTCTGCTCCTTCCCTCAGGAGCCCCACTCCCTGGGGGCCTCTGACCTAAGACAGGGTCATTAACACCAGCCATCAGGCCTCCAGCCCCATTAATGTCCAGTCTCCCGACCTATTCAATGGGCCCCCATTTTTCCCACCACAGCCCAAGGGAATGGCATCCTGGGGGGTGGGAAGGGGAGGGAGTGGGTGCAGACTGCAGGTCTTTAGCTGGCTTCTCCAGGCTCCAGGTCTGGGTCAGGAGACCCCACACACTCCTTGCTGAGCCGCACAATTTCCTGGGACAGAACTTCCATGTCCTAAGAAACAAACAAGCCATCAGGGGCCAGCTGTGCCTGGCCTGGGATGGGAAGGGACTTGGAGAAGCTCACAGAGCCTCCAGCAGCAGGCTGGGCTCGGAAAAGTGAGAAAGGGCAGGGAGCCTCTGGAGCTATGGACATGGGGGTGGGTCACCTGCTGTGGCACGCTGCTGCTGGAGGACACAACAGCCACCCTCACCACCTTCTCTTCTATTAAATGTGCACTTGTTTCTCAAAGGCAGGAGCTGGGTTTGATTCCTTTCTGACTCCCCCAGAGATGGAGGAAATATTTGGGTGGCAGTTGGGCAAATGGACATATGGGGGGAGGCATGGGGGATCTATGATAGGCAAACAGATGGAGGCCAACAGGTAGACAGGCAGGTCACTGGGTGGGTAGGTGAAAGGTAAGACAAGGGGTGATTGACGAGGAGAGAGAGAGACACACAGAGAGGGTGCACGGTAGGTCAGGAAGTGGGTGGAAAGACATGAAGCAGATGATTAGATGGGTAAATAGTAGGATGGGTAGACGGACAGATGGGCAAATGGTTGGGTGAAGGTGAGTGTATGAATGGATGAATAGGTGGATGGAAGAACAGAGGTACGAGTGAAAGACTAAACTGATAATAAGTTGATTGGAGGATGGAAGATGCAAGCATGAAAGAGTGGTTGATGAATGGGTGGGGGATCGCTAGGAGGACAGGATTGGGTGGGTGGACTGGGGACTGGCAGATGACCCAGGGGCTGTGTGGCCAGGTAGGCAGGTGGCTGGATGGACAAAGGGATAGGCTGGTAGGCCACACTTGCCTTGTGCAAGTGCATATTCTTGGTGAGCTGCTCCTCCAGCATGTTCTGCAGCTTCTTGTTCATCTCCCGAAGGTTCTCGTCACCTGGCTTCACTAGGTCTCTCAGGACGCTGCCCAGCCCGCTGCGGTCTGTGTGGCCTGCTGCCACAGACACATCTGCAAGGGCCCAGGCTGAGAACCACCCCCTCGGCAGAGCCAGAGGAGAGACGAGCAGAGCCAGAGAAAAGAGGGAAACAGAGTGGGGGAGAAGGGAGGGGAAGAAGCCACATTATGTAGGGGGTAGACACTTTGACATGTGAAACCTAGCTTTGTCACTAGCTATGAGACCTTGAGAAATAGGGATAATAACTACCTCATGGAACCAGAAAAATGCATAGGACTGCATGTGAAGCACAGAGTACACAGTACACCCTCAGTGCATGCCAGTCAGTATTATTCTGATTAATAAGGAAAATCAGTGAGAGAAGAAGGTCTCAAAGAAAGGAACAAAATAAAAAGACAGGGAGAGAGGGAGAGGAAAGAGGAGAGAAGGTAGGGAGACGGGAGGGAGAGAAGAGAGGAGGAGAGAGACGGGGAGGAGAGGAAGAGATAAGGACCCCCCACAAAAAAAGAAAATATATGGAGATAGAGCTGGCGATTAGCTCAGTTGGTTAGAGCACAGCCTTATAACACCAAGGTCATGGGTTCAGATCCCTGTACTGGCCAGCCGCCAAAAGAAAAAAAAAAAAAGAAAAAGAAAATTCATGGAGATAGAGCAATATAGACAGTGAGAGAAGATGAAGGAGGGGGCAGAGAAAAGGGACAAAGGAAGAGAGAGAAGAGGAAGATGAGACACGGGGAGAAGAAAGGAGAAAGAAAAGGACAGAGAGACACGCTAGAGAGTGGAGAGATGACAGAGACACAGAGAGAAGGGGGGAGCGCAATAAAGGGAGAGCTCCCCTAATCTCCCCTCCACCGGTCATGGCCTGATCAGTGGCTTCCCTGAGTTCCAAGGGGAGAGCGAGA